CGTACCTGAACATAGCAAATCTGTGGGGTGGTGGGCTGTGAGAAGCAGCTGGTTCCTGGTTGAATGTAAGTCTTGAACCTTGGACCTTTATCAGGATGGCAGGTGTTTGGCTCTGCTCCCAGGCCCTGGTTCTTTTCATTCAGCTTCGGCCCTCCACAGCCCATCCCACAGAGAGGTCTATGACCATCAGTCATGAAGAACAGTGCCTCAGGCTCTCCCACATGTAGATGAGGTATTTCCAAGCTCTCAGACTAAGCCAATAGGCGTTATCTGCTGCCAGACTCTAACCCACCCTAAAATTGTATATGAAAGCTCTATTAAGGAGAAGTAAAGAGGTGTTTGAGAATCATCCTGGTGTCTGAGAGTTTCTGTCTCAAGAGCTGTAACACTTGGGGAGAAATCTGCTCTCCTGGAGGCTTCCTGGGGCACCAAGCTGCCTCCTTGCCAGCTAGCCGGCTTCCTATCGGCCCAGCCATGGCCAGCTCAGCAAGGAGAGACAGGTGCAGCACATGGGAATGACTGAACTTCGACAGTGGAGATGCAAGCAGAGGCAGCAGCAGGGGCAGGCAATCTCCCCTCCCTGCTTACACTCCGCATCCTTTGGTCCAGTCCTCCTGCACCAGGCCAGGCCAGAGATCTACAGAAGTGTAGATGCAGGGACAGAGACAGTAGCGGACCCTCCCCCCTCTCACTCTGTCTGCAGCCAGAAGATCATCATGGCTCACCCTCCAGAAGAGGGGAGCCACACAAACCAGTAGCCAAAATCAAATTAAATGGACAGAAACTTGAATCAATCCCACTAAAATCAGGCACTAGAAAAGGCTGCCCACTCTCTCCCTACCTATTCAATATAGTACTCAAAGTCCTAGCCAGAGCAATTAGACAACAAAAAGGAGGTCAAAGGAATACATTGGAGAGGAATAAATCAAAATATTGCTATTTGTAGATTATATGATAGTATACTTAAATGACCCAAAAACTTCCATCAGAAAACTCCTAAACCTTGTAAACAACTTCTGCAAAGTGGCTGGATATAAAATTAACTCAAACAAATCAGTAGCCGTCCACTAATCAAAGGATAAACATGCTGAGGGAGAAATTTGTGAAACACCCTTCACAATAGTCACATATAATATAAAATATTTTTGTGTGACTCTCACCAAGCAAGTAAAACATCTGTAAAACAAAAACTTTAAGTCCCTGAAGAAAGAAATCAAAGATCATCTCAGGACATGGAAAGAATTCCCATGCTCCTAGATTGGCAGGATTGATATAGTAAAAATGGTTATCTTGCCAAAAGCAATTTACAGATTCAATGCAATACCCATCAAAATTCCAGTTCAATTCTTCATAGATTTAGAAAGAGCAATTTTCAGATTCATTTGAAGTAACAAAAAATCCAGCATAGTGAAAACTTTATTCATCAATAAAAGAAATTCTGGGGGAATCACCATCCCAGATCTCAAGCTCTACTACAGAGAAATAGTGATAAAAACTGCATGGTACTGGTACAGAGACAGGCAGGAAGATCAATGAAATAGAATTGAAGATCCAGAAATGATCCCACACACCTTTGTTCACTTGATCTTTGACAAAGGAGCTAAAACCATCCAGTAGGAAAAAGACAGCTATTTCCACAAATGGTTCTGGTTCAACTGGAGGTCATCGTTTAGAAAAATACAAATTGATCTATTCTCATCTCCTTGTACAAAGCTCATGTCCAAGTTGGTCAAGGACCTCAACATGAAACTATATACACCAAAACTAATAGAAGAGAAAGTAGGGAAGAGACTCAAACACATAGGCACAGGGGAAAAGTTCCTGAACAGAACACAAATGGCTAATGGTCTAAGGCCAAGAATTGACAAATGGGACCTCATAAAATTCCAAAGCTTTTGTAAGGCAAAGGACACTATCAATAGAATAAAATGGCAACCAACAGATTGGGAAAAGATCTTCACCAACTCAACATCTGATAGAGGATTAATATCCAATATATAGAACAAATTCAAGAAGTTAGATTCCAGAGAACCAAATAACCATATTAAAAGGGAGGTACAGAGCTAAACCAAGAGTTTTCAACATAGGAACCACTAATGCTGGAAAAGCACCTAAAGAAATGTTTAACATCCTTAGTCATCAGGTTAGGGCAAGTCAAAAACAACCCTGAGATTCCACCTCATACCAGTCAGGATGGCTAAGATCAAAAACATAGGTGATAACAGATGCTGGTAAGAATGTGGAAAAAGAGGAACACTCTTCCATTGTAGGTGGGATTGCAAGCTGGTACAACCACTCTGGAAAACAGTCTGGTGGTTCCTCAGAAAACTGGACAACATATTACCTGAGGATCCAGCTATATCAACAAATGAACCAAAAACAAAACACCAGAACAAAATAAAACTGGGCCTGACTTTATAGCTGAGCGAAGTGTGTTTGCTGACTATGCTTATTGTCTTAGATTCAATTTTCCAGCACTATGAAAACATCAGCAGTAAAACCACTCCATATGAAATGACATCAATATTGTCAGTAAACATTATCTATGATTAAAAAGCTAGAAGAGTGTAAAGGAAGAATTTACCAGTGGAAATCTGAGTGCTTTGAAGGCATTCTTAATACATACTTTAAGCTGCTATTAGTATAATTCAAATCAAGACATAACTTTAAAATATAATAAGACAAAATTTACAACTTCCTATTTCAAAACTAGGAGAGAGCAGTTTTAGTCTCTCTTTTTCCTAGTGGGTTTGCTAAGGACACTGGTTTTGCTCTCTCTTCAGGAGTGTTCACCTTTTCACTATTCAAATCTCAATTATGGACATTACTTTTGTTGCATGTGGCACAATATTTTTTTTCTCATTTCTATTAAACATATGAACATAATGGGTTCATAAATTCTGGTTCACAGTCAATTTCACACAGAACCCTTTCTGAGTTTAATCAACCTCCTAGATGCACTTGACAAGCTTCAGTTATTCTGTTATTTCTATTGTTTGGCAACAGACTGCTATTTTGGGATTAAGTGAAAATTCAATATAAGCACTCATTATAGAATCACATATTTATCAGCCTCTGAACTAGCCATAATACCAAAAGTATTTTTTTAAATAAGAATTATAAGCATAAATTTAGAGTTTCATTTATTTTACAAATAACAAGAACTTTATCATCAATAACGTTTAATTGTATGATTTTCTCCTGAAATATGTATCCCTTGAAATACACCAAATCGTATTTATTTATTTTTTTGTTTTTATTTATTTATTTATTTATTTATTTATTTATTTATTTTTGAACATGAAATGCTTTTTTATAGCATGTTTTACAAGGGGAGGGGGTAAGAGGGTCCAGGTGGTGGAAAAGTATAGAATCTTCTTGGCCTGTGCCTTGAAACATGTCATGGTCTATACGGTACACTGCCTTGAATTATGATCTACCTGCTGTTCTTCAGAAGATATGGTACACTGCTTGAGTTATGGTCTCCCTGCTATTCTTAAGATGATATGGTACACTGCTTTGAGTCTATCTGCAGTTGCTAAGCAGGATCTTGCAGTTGCCAAGCTTCAGAGGACATTGTGCAGGTGGGGAAAGGTCGGGGGTGAGGGTAAGGGCGAGGGTCCTGGCTTCTGGCATCTCCCCCTTCTCTGTTTAGTTAGAGAAGGCATCTTATGATCAATCCCAACTATGTGAATTTTGAATTTGGATGTCTAATTATGGGGGGGTCTTAGACAAGTTCACAACCCCAAAACACTGATGTGAGACGAGTCACATCGATGGTCAAAGGTTTTAGGCTGTCGACAATGGGTAATGTCAAGGGACTCCGATGTGGGTGAAAGGAGGGTGAGAGCCCTGTCTTAGGCCATGTAGGCTGCACCCACTCCCAGCACCATGCACTCCTTTTCGGCTGCATTGGGTGGGCCCCTGGGAAGTGGACCTACAATAATCCCGTCATTGGGCTAACTCACAGCCATCCTAGTCCCTTGTAATTGTTCAATTTACCAACCATTTGTCAGTTTGGGGTGTAATATTGTCATAAAGGAAGGCTCCCCAATGTTAGCGGCCATATCAAGGGCGGCCTTGGTTTAGGAAAAAGCCAATTTTTGTTGTGGTGATCAAGAGGCCAAGCTCTCTAGCGAGAGAAACGGGGGCAAAGCCAGGCATACCAGGAACCCTTCTGGAGGGCATGGAAGTCTAGCGGTCGACCGTAGGGGGAGGCAGGGGAGCTGGCAGCTGTGTCAGTCTCCTGCGGAGTCACTTCTGGATCCTCTTCAATTTTCGGCTGATGGTAATGAACTCCAACCGTCTTCTTGATGGCAGCATCAACCTGGTTCCGTGGATGACAGGTCGCGGGCAACGATCTCTGTCTCGCTCAATCTTGATGTCCTGCACACATCCTCTCAATGAGGGTCCATCCAGAGGGGTCCGTGCCTTGAGTCCCACGTCTGGGTGCCACTTGACCCGACCGGCAGGCCCTAGTTATTCGTGGGGGCAAGGAGGACTGCAACCTGCTATTCTTCAGAAGATATGGTACACTGCTTGAGTTATGGTCTCCCTGCTATTCTTCAGATGATATGGTACACTGCTTTGAGGCTATCTGCAGTTGCCAAGCAGGATCTTGCAGTTGCCAAGCTTCAGGGAACCTTGTGCAGGTGGGAAAAGGTAGGGGGTGAGGGTAAGGGCCAGGATCCTGGCTTCTGGCCCATCTGGATTAGAACTTCTAATAGCAGGCATCACGGGTGATTCATTTTTACCTGGAAAGAAAAAAGAAGGGGATTCTCAGGGAGATTTCTCTTCCCTGGATGTAAATTGTTATTCATCGTATTTCTGGTTGGGCCTGGCTTTGTGAGGGTATCTATTTTTTTCATTAATATTTGTGGTAGCCGGTTAGCTGGTGGCACAATATTTTGCTTCTCACCTTTTTTTTCTTTCAGAGTTAGGTTTCCTTAAGCAATTTCCTCTTTTTGCTTTGGTAAGAGTAGAGGCAGAAAATCATGAGTTTGACTTTCACTCTGAGGTAATTTAGTTCTGCCTTTTCTCTTGGAGCTTCTTAGTGGATACAAGCTAGAAAAGGCCAACTTATCCAGCAGTTGGGGGATCAATTCCTTCCAAGAGAATCACCTCTGAGCATGGACACAGGTAACAATTGCTGCTTTTATTTACTATTTTATCAAATGATCAAAATTACTGGAGAGAATTTCATATGGTGTGACATGAGAGAAGGATTAATAGGGAAGCCCTGTTGGTTGGGTTATATCAGGTTAACTCTAGCAGCATGTGAAAACTGTCATTCTGCATTGGTTATTTTCTTTCAAAGTATGTTGGGACTTATGTTGAGTGCTAAGAAATTAAGGCAGAGAGATCTAAACAGTTTATTACTCTTTAACTGTGTTAAATGTTTATATATCATCCATCTGAAAGATGTTATAATTGGAGCCTGATAAGATGGGTCAGTGTGTAAAGGTATTTGTGACCCAAGCCTGATCAAATAACTGAGTTTGATCCCTGTAACGCATATGAAGCTGGAGAAATAGTGTAGCTGCCCATCAGCTATGGACGAGTTGGATTCATCTGAAAGGAAGGCTGGAAACGAAAAAGACAAGGTGGGGCAAGAGAAACATGAATCCAAGACAAAGTTTTCTGATCAAGGCTCAAAGTTTAATATTCAGCACTTTTATGTATAAGGAAAGCCTACTGAACCTATACCTTGTGTCACTGGATTATGTTGCAAAGCAAGCTCAGTGGACAATCTATTCTTCTAAGTTCTTGTGGGAAGTTGTACATGCAGCCAGAGTGGATGACTCCACCTGACTCCTATTGTGGCAAGGTCTAGGGTGGTAAAACAAGGTCTTTCCAGCCTTCTCAAGGCTGAGGGAGGGCATATGAAACAACTTTGTAAATATGTCTTCTGGACACATGCACCTGGGCTCAGCCAGCTACACCCTAAGAGCAATAAATAACAGTTATGAAAAAGAATTCTGTAATGGAAGGATTCATTTTTTTAAGAAGGCAAAGGGTTGATCACTTCAGAATCCTTCCTAAATTAAAAAGCTAGATAAAACTGCTATCAATGTGCAGCTTGTTGTCTGAATTATCAACTGGCACTCATCTCAGTTATTAATGTTAAGGTAAGGTCAGTTACAAATTCTTACTGTTTACTAATACATTGATATATATTATCAGATTGTATCTTTCATGGGCATTAGCTCCTGAATACTGCATAGTGACAAAATTTATTTCCTTATAGCCTCCCGTTGCAAAATCATGTAAGAGAATATTATATGTTCCATAATTGTGTATATGGAATGATCTGTGATTAAAACTTCATATTGTATACTCCATGCCTCTGTCCATTGCTCCTAAATGCCAACAGGCAATGTTCCCTTTCTACTTTCCTGCTTGCTGCAATTAATAAAGGTTATAAACCATTTCTGAAGACTTTGAGGCAAGAGACTCAGATGAGAGAGAATGTCTTTCTGGAACTGTTTTATCTCACCCAGTAGGATCTTTTCTGTTTGAATCCACTGTCCAGTTCCAAACCTGGAGAAGAATGTGTAGACTGTGGTGGGGTGGAGATGTTTGATATATCAGCTGATTGGCACTTAAACCCAAGAGATATTTATGTGTCTTGGATTACCTATAGTATTATACTTTAAATATTCTTTGGAAGGTAATGTCTGGGAAACTCTGAGAATAATATATAAATAAAATGACTGAAAGAACATTTAATATTCATGTGCTTATCAAAATATGTAGATAACTTTAAAGCAACATTTTTATTTTTTCTTAAAGCCTTGGGACTGTTTGTTATTTGAATAGATTGTTTAAAAGTTTTTCATTGATATTCAATGGCACCAGTTTTAACTAACATTTTAATGTGCTGAATATTTTGAACAAACAAGCTATGCCAATATTATAACTTATCAGTATATTTTAATTTTTTCCATATTTACTAAATATAATTGCTGTGGCCATTAAATAAATAAACAACTTCAACACAAATATGCAAAGGGTTCTAACCTCTAATGGCAGTCGGGGTCAGTTCATGTTAGGCTGTTTAGATTATTAAGTCAGTTAGTCAGAACCCTCCCTTTCCCAACCCTCTGTATCATCAGATCCAGGTATCTACTTAAAGGTGGACATTTTAATTTTTTTCCTTAGGAATCACTCAAGGGCACATTTAACAGAGAACGTACTCCACATACTCCAAAGATGAGTGAGCAGGAAGTTACTTTTTCAAATGTGAAATTTCGTAAGGATACAAGGTCACAGAACCAAGTAAGCACTGAGGAGACTCAAGCACCCAGAGAAGCTGGCCCCAGAGGTAATAGTGTTAAGTGTCTATAATCACATTGTTTAATGCATTTTAAACTTTTAACAATTTAAAAATATCCCACGGCCTTTTATTGAAAACTATTCTGTTCCATTTCATCTGGGCATGGTTATGCACAAGGGTGAAAGGGAAGAAAAGACTATTTGTTGGCAAGTACCACATATAAAATTGTTCAAAATTAAGTTGAAAAAATAAACCAATCAAGTTTTAAAATTTGAAAACATAAAGAAAAAACATAAACCTACTCCTACTTTTTAGTTACTATCTGGTAACAGAAAAAAACCAATGGGCAGATTAGAACAATGGGAATCTATAAAAAAAAAATTCCAAACTCTTGAGAATCAAGAAGAAATGAGAAACCATTAAGAGGTTAATTTATTATTATTATTATTATTATTATTATTATTATTATTATTATTTCAGCAGCAGCAGCATTAGTATTATTATCATCAGTATTAGTATTATTTAGTCTAGTAAAGTAGAATTCTGAAAAATTTTAAAACTAACTAACAAAATAAGGCCTGAAAATACATGAAATATTCTAAAGACCCAAATCCTATGGAAATGAAGCTTATTTAGTAGAAACAATACTTTCACTCTCAAAGAAAGTGCTTTATTTGTCATAAATATCCCTAAAATCTAAGCAAACAAGACAAAAAAATTGTCCATCAGAAGAGGAAGTCTCCTCCTGAGAATATAGTTACAGAGGAAGAAAGAGGGGTTGAAAGGTTAGTAGGTGTGGAAATGAGTAAACCCCAGTGTGAGTTCCAGAAAATGTCAAAGAATAATTTTGTTTATTAATGAAAAAGAGGAAATCTCACTTCCTATTCTCTTTTTTTAGTTACTTTATAAATACTGTCTCATCTATGCTCTAAGCTGAGATATCATTCTTCTTTCATTTTCTGGTAATCAGAGCCATGAATTTCACATTCCAAATGATACACAAAAATGTGTACTACTATATAGGGCAGAATCAAAATTACAGGGAAGAAGAGATAGTTGATCTATAGGCCATTTCAAGGACGGGGATGTATACAGATCAGTTCCAGAGCAGGTTTGGTTCCCTACCATTACTTGTGAGCATCCATTCCTCTACTGTAGAATGGACTTCAGTTCCAGTAGAACTGGATGAGGGCATATGCTTGTAATGCAGCTCCTTCTAGGTTGACTCAGGAGGATTGACAATACAAGGCCAAGGCTGAAAAGTTCAAAATTTTGTGAAATTTTCTGAAACTTCACACATGTAGGACTACTACACTGAGTATACCTTCAGTAGAAATCTACAATTTTGACATCACATTTTAAGTGTGTTTATATCATCAACTTTTGCAAAATTTTCTCTTGTTTCCATGCTACACAAACTATAACTAGTATTGGGATGTGCTCTTTTCATGATGATGATTTTCTTGCTTTGTTCTGTTGATTAAGTGTGTTCGATCCCCTGGAAGATCATTGTGATAGCTCTCGGAATCCTCTGTTCCCTTCGGCTGGTAATTTTTGCAGTTCTGGTGACAAACAGTGAGTAACTGAGATACATCCTATTTGACTTTCTGCCTAAAGAGTAGTTTTAGCTATGAACTATGCAGTGACATACTCTGTCCATTGCCCTACCTATAACGAGGGGATGAGACAGAATCTGTGGACTTTAATGTTGGCACACTGTAGACTCTCGTTCTCTTACATACCAAATCTGTCAGCTATGGGGCTGTTTTCTGTCTCATGCTTGGTCATATTCCTTCTATGGACTAGGTGATACTCTGCATTTAGAGCTAAAGTGATTTGGGATTTTATGTAAACATTTTGTGATAACCATTTGTGGAAAAGTCGATGACCTTCTTTTCCTTGTTCTTCAATGTATACTGAGGTCATGATTAAATAAAAAAAACTTCATCTGCAAAGAGACAATAAAAGTTAAACTTTATTGGACTCCTTCACATTTAAAGGAAAGAAATCACTTCCAGGTTGTGTTTTAACATAGAGATATATGTGTATCATTAGCTTTCCATATGTTCCAATAAGAACTGTGTCATATCTTAACATTTATTAGCTCATATTTTCATTCTGTGATAATTATTTGCTGAGTATTTTATTTAGGTATTTATTTTTAAATTTGTGCTATAAACAGTGGAGTGATTAGAAGTTACTGTCACTATAATTTTATTCAGGTTTACTATTTATTTTACAGTAAACTTTTTCATAGAGAAGCATTGATGTATCTATTTTATATTGACTTAGTTGAAGTTCTAATTTACAAATGTTAAAGTTCCAAAGAAAGATATGATATGTGTTGGCTGTCAACATGAAGGTTTTTTGCTAATAATAAATTTCAGTATTTATTTCTTATGAGCATGTTTGATTTTATAATGTTACTAATTTTAGTTTTTCAGTATAGTGAAGAAAAACATAAACTGCAGGAAACTCTAAAAATCCTCCTCCATAACTACAGCACCATGCAAAATGAAAGCTATTTAAAGGAAGAAATGCTCAGAAATAAGTCTATAGAATGTAATTCCTACAGAAATCTTCAGGATACCCTCAACAGAAAGCAGAACAGATGCTACATGGAAACCAAGATTGTTTTAGATTGCTTACAGCACAGAGGTAAGCAGGATATCTTGAAAAAAGAATTGTACTATTTTCTATTTTTTTTCTGCAGAAGCTTTGAAGTCAAATATCAGCTTATGATGCTGTTGATGTGTGAGTTAATGGTCTGGAATTTCTTTAATTTGTGTAGAGTCCTGGAACCCTGGAAATCCCTGCTTGGTCTAGGAGAATCTTATAGTTGATAGAACTCAGTGTCTTTTCTGACTCCTATTGGTCCCAGAAGATGGAATCACAAATCAACACCCCTAATAATTCAGGTCCTTGTGGTTTACTGGAAAATCTGAATCTCTAACTTTGTTGCTGACAGAACATGGGAGCTTTTAGTAAGAGTGCATCTACCAAATATTTACTCTATAATGGACTTAGAACATTTATATGGATGCAATCAGGAAAATTATTCTCTGTGTGTGCTTGTGAGTATGTGCTTTCCATCTGACTTGTCTTGAGAGATTTGCCCTGATTGTACCAAACGAAGCCTCCCTTGAGCAGACATGGGAGCCTCACCATGCTTTGCACACATTGTAGCTCAGTCAGTGGCGTGGTGAATGAGGCTGGAAAGATGAAAATATCAAGAGTCACAAGGAATCTTTCTTACACTTCATAGTGATTGGTCATCTCTAACTGACAGAGCTTATCAGTCATCATTAAATATTTTCTTCAGGATTTAGAGTTTGCAAAATGCTGTGGTGTACAATCTCACTGTGCTGCGTTAGTAGTGGGTAACATCCTCATTATGCAAGGACTAACATCATTTAAACTGCTACATTATAAAATATGTGACAGGAAGAGTAAAAGTTCCAAGAAATATTGTTGTAGTATTTCAGACTCATGAAAAATGTATTGATTATTATTTTAATATAACTTAATCATCTGTAAATTCATGAATTCATCTTCATCATGATTAGGAGGCTGAGGGAGGAAGATTATAACTTTCAGAACAATCTGGACAGCACACCAAATTCAAGTCCTGCCTGAGCTACACAATAATACTCTCTACAGGATAGCAAATATTAGAGATAAAGTTTGTTAATAGAGCATATCCATCCTCAGCACCTTACTAAGCAAAATAATAATATTTGAGTGTTCTTGTTACACTAACTACACACACCTTAAAGTCTTGACACATTTAAGCATGTGGCTAGCCATTGAGGGCATCACCACAATCAGGAGACTATTCATATCAAAATCTCCCCTGTACCTCTCTTATTTCTCTTAAGATAAGAACATGTAACACAGACCATGGCACAGTGCTGACTGCACAGTAGTGTGTGGACCAGTGTGTGAACAATGCATTACTGCAGATTTAGAATTTTGTCATTAGTTTCACTCCCTCTCAGTAGCAAGTGCTTATAGCCTGACCTCCAGTACCTGGTATCTCACAAGTCTCTGCTTCATAGAACTAGGCTCTTTTAGAAATCTGTTCTGTATGGAATCATAAAATGTGAGGTTGCTGTAAATCTCCAACCCCAATAAGCCCATGCAAGGAAAATGCAACCCAATTATATATTTATAAAATTCACACCTAATTGGGCAGATACGCCTCTACACTGCTTTCTTCCCCAGCTATGAAATCCCTGGTACTTGCAGCTTCTCCAGGCCATGTGCTTCTGGTCCACGTTCCTTCCAACTCTCTCAGTCTGTCCTCCATTGTCCAAAATCTCCTCCAACTCCTCCTCCTCCCCTCCTCTTCCTGTCTTGTCTGGAAATCCTGCCTACTTATTTTCACCCAGTGATTGGCTATTTGTCTTTATTAGCCAATCAGATAATTAAGGGAAATTCCTCAATAGTGTGGTCCTAGGCCTGGTGTGGTTCACTTTGAACACTATCCTCAAGTTTTTCCATGTTTGTCACATGGGTCAGGATCTCGCTATTGGGTTTCAGTATGAGATATAATGTCATTCTTTATCCTAAGGTGACTTGGAACTCACTGTATACTCAAGGCTGGCATGGAAGTAACATTTAACCTATGCCGGCCACAAACCAGTAGTGACCTTCCTGCCTCTCTCTGTGTAGTGCTCTGATTATAATAAGTTATCCTGCAGTGCTGATTCATTTCCCTTTAAAGGCTAAATAGCATTCTTTTGTGTGTATGTGCTCCATTTTCTCTACTGAGTTATCCATATTTGACACACAAATTATTTCTGTATCTCTACTGTTATTAACAATGGTGCATAGATTATGGGTGTGCAGGGGTCTCTGGATATTATAGAATCTCAATTTCTGAGACCCTGTGAGATTTTATTTTTTCAACACAGGCTTAATAAATACATTATTCTGATAGCAGAATACCAGAAAATATGAAGTTTAACCATTCACCTTCTCTGTTGAAGACAAACTTGTGGAAGGACACTTGTTCTGCCATGGCATAAAATGTTATTATTTCATCACTGACAAAAAACAGTGGAATGGATGTAAACAGACTTGCCAGGATTGCAGCTTATCTCTTCTGAAGATAAATGATGAACATGAACTGGTACCACTGACTCTTATATATCCATTTATTTTCTTAGACTCTCGCTAGTCCTTGAATAGTGAGATACTGTATCCAGGTTTTTTTTTTTTAAGAGAGACCTACATTTGTTTGTATATGGTTTTCCTGTAATGTGAACCAAATTGTACAGTAAAAGTGTCTCAGGTGACTCCGTTCTGCTCCTCATGTAGTGCAAGACTCTTTGATATAGCACATCCTGTGAATGACAGTTATTTATTTCGATAGAGTGATAACTAAATCTCCAGAGTCCATAGTATAGAGTTTGCTCTTTGGAGCCGGGAAGTGAGGCTGCGTGAGATGGAAATCAGATGACAACAGGGAAAATAGTTGAACTCTATGCCCGACTGTAAAATGGAAATGATATAAGAATCATGCAAACTAATAGTTTTAACAGTTAGTCCCATGGTGATTTTCACTGAAACAGTCTATAATTTTTACTGCATAGTATTTTTATGTTTTGTAAAAAATGATACCCATCTTTAGAAATGAGAATTTAAAAGAAAAAATAGTTTCCAAGATTCTGACATTTTCTGTTTACATTATTACAAATGAAATCTCTTAAAATACAGACTATTTATTTTCTAGAGAAATGATTGCAGGACAACATTGAAATCTTGTTCATTTATAACATGGTATGATATTTAAATATCAATTTAATACGTGCTTAAACAACAACATAAAAGAATGTTACTGTCAAATAATAGTGTGTTTTTCCATTTGATACAGTAAACATCAGTAAAAATTTAAAATTATTATTACTATTATTATAATTATTTTATTACTTATTTACCTTACATCCCACTCAATACCCTGTTCTAGTCAATCCCTCCAATAATTCCTCCTTCATACCCCCTCTCCTTCCCCACTAAGCAGGTGGGGACTCCCCTAGGTATCTCTTCACCATGACACATCAGGTTTCCTTGAGGTTAGGTGCATCCTCGCTTAATGTGGCCAAACAAGGTAGCCCAACTAGAAGAATATATTCCACATATAGGCAACAGCTTTTGAGATAGATTCTGATTCCTTCATGCAGAACCCACATGAAGACCAAGCTGCACATCTGCTACATATGTGAGGAGAGGCCTAGGTTCACCTTGTGTATGTTCTTTGGTTAGTGGTTCAATTTCTGAAAGCCCCAAGCTTCCAGGTTAGTTAACTCTGTTGGTCTTCCTGTAGATTTCCTATCCTCTTAGGAGTAACAATCCTTTCTTTTGTTCTTCCATAAGACTCCCCAAGGTCCATAAAGTATTTGGCTGTGGGTGTCTGTACCTGTCTGAGTTATCAGGTTGGTAGAACCTCTCAGAAGACACTCATGCTAGACTCCTGACTGCAAGCATAACAGAGCATCATCAATATTGTCAGGGATTGGTGCTTTACCATAGGATGAGCCTCAAGTTGGATGGGTTTATGGATGACTGTTAGCCCAGTCTCTGCTTTATCCACAATCCCTGCATTTCTTGTAGACACTGTAAGTTTGGGGTTCAATGTATTGTGGGAGTGTTAGTGGCCCTATATCTCCACCATGTCTCCTGCCTGGCCAAAGGATAAAGTCTTACCAGGCTTCATATGGCCCAATGCTGTGAATCACAGGGAAGAATACACCCACTGATTCTTTGGGGCCTCCCTTATCCCAGGTCTCTGTCTCTTCCTGGAGATACCCCCTACCTCCCAATCAGTTTCACATTTCCATTCATTCTCTTGGCCATCTGGTCAACTGTTCATTCCCCCTGTCCTTCCCCATACCCAAACTCCAGATCCCACACTCCCTTCACGAAGCCCTCTCCTACCCATTTCCCTCCCTCTATTTGCCTGCCAAGACCATTCCATTTCCTCTTCCAAGTGAGACCCAAGAATCCTTGCTTATAACCTCCTTCCTGTTCAACCTCCTTTGGTCTTTGGAGTGTAGCATGGGCATCCTGTATTTTATGCTTAATATCTACTAATAAGTGACTAGTTACCATGTATGTTCTTTTGGAACTGGTTCACCTTAATTGGGATGATATTCTCAAGATCTATTCATCTGCCTGCAAAATTCATATCTTTGCTTTTCATAGCTGAATAATATTCCATTATGTAGATGTACTACACTTACTTTATCCATTCTTCAGTTGAAAGAAATCTATCTAGGTTGTTTTCAGTTTCTTGCTATTATGAATAAAACATAGTTGAGCAAGTATCTTTGTGGGATGGTGTGGCATCCTTTGGGTATATATCCAGGATTGGTATAGCTGTGTCCTGAGGTAGAACTATTCCCAGTTTTCTGAGAAACTGCCAAATTGTTTCCAAAGTAAGTGTACAAGGTGCACTCCCACTAACAGTGAAGGTATATTCCCTGGCTCTATATCCTCACCAACATGTGCTATCACTTGAGATTTGATCTTAGCCATTCTGACTGGTAGAAGATGGGATCACAGAGTTGTTTTGATTTATGTTTTCCTAAAGACTAAGGACATTGTACATTTCGCTAAGTGCTTCTAGGCCAATCGAGATTCTTGTGTTGCGAATTCTATTTTACCTCAGCCTTAGAAGATGCAGTAGAAGAAATTGATATATCAGTCAAATAAAATGTTAAATCTAAAAAGTTCCTGAAGTAAAACATCCAGGATGTTTGGGATACTACCTAATCTATAAATAGTAGGAAGAGAAAAGCCCAGAAGATATTTTCAACAAAATATTAGAGAAAACTTTTCCAACCTAAAAAAAGAGGTGCCTATATAAATGAAGCTTATAGAAAACAAATTAAACTGAACCAGAAAAAAGTTCTCCTTCCACATAATAATCAAACTACAAAATATATAGAACAAACAAAGAATATTAAAAGCAGCAAGGGGAAAAGGGTAGGTAACACACAATGGCAGACTTATCAGATTTATACCCATCTTCTCAACAGACTCTAAAAGTTAAAAGGGGCTGGACAAATATATTACGATCTCTAAAATATCACAGATGCCAACCTAAAATATAATACTCAGCAAAACTTTCAGACACCAAAGATGAATAATAGAAGATATTTCAAGAGAGATCCAAATTCAAAGAATATTTATCAGCAATCCAGTCCTACAGCAAATACTAGAAGGAAAACTCTAACTCAAGGAGGATAACTATACTCAAGAAAACACAGGAAAAAAGTAATTCCATACATTCAAGACAAGGAGACACACACACACACACACATCCCATAATTAAATTTCAACCCAGCCATATTTTAAAATATAATCAGTCACTTAATGAGACATCATGCCACTTGAATGTCACCTGTAAGACACCATAAATACTTCCAAATACTCCTTATATTCTCCTCAGTTATGTCACTTCTGGATCTGAAGTAGGGAAAGTTCCTTTCTGGAGCATGGAGCTAAATGCAGAGCAATCCACACAGTACTTTTCATCTTATGACTTTTCTTTGAAGACAGGGCATTACTTCCCATATGCTTCAGTAGTATTCCAGAGTGCACATTTGAATAATTTCATAGATTATCAGAAATTGTTTAGCGGTCCATATTTTTTATAGGCCTTTAGCAGGAAGATTGTGACTTCAAAGACAGGCTTGGTTATGTTGTGAGACTTGGTCTAAAAAACACAGTCACAAATCATGTCATGAACAGAGTATCTTAGCACACCTGAAGATTTTAGTTTTAATAACTTATCAAACTGACGTCATTTTGATATAAATTTGCTACTAGTAGGAAGTCACTCTAGAAAATGAACATAATGGGACTGAGCAGTGGGAGGACAGGACAGTATAGAATGGCACAGGAATGCTGGGAACTTTTCCTGCTTGTTCTTTTCTTATAAAACAGATAGAAATTTTATCATAAAGTGTGTTGTTTCCCTTACAGGCACTCCTCCAATATCAGATTATTCAAGGTAGTTACTGGATTGGACTGAAATATGATATTAAAAATAAGGAATGGGCATGGATTGACAGTGGCCCATCTAAACTGTGAGTTTCTTAACCCTCCTGGCTCTAACACTGGTGGGAATTGGGAGGATTGTGTGCAAAGGCTTTTCTCTCATTTCACGTGGTTTCCTCATTTTTTTATGGAGCTCATGGGTAAGGACAATTGCATAAGGCAGTGTCTGAGCAAGTGTTACAGAGAGAAGATGTATAGTTCAGGAGCTAACAGAAAGTAGCTTAATATTGCATATATCTCAGGATTGTGTGTTATAAGATGCACAGGGTTCTAACAAGTCAGTGACGAGATTGTGTGAAATGAGTGAATGATCATAACAGATACATTGAATCTGAGTCTCTAAGACATTCATTTGACATTCTTTACTGTCATTAGCTCATGTAATTGTTGGTTACTTATAAATATAAGACCATATTTACATATACATACATATGTATGCCTACCTTCCATTTCGATGTGTTGTGTTGTGAGAACTCCAAGTCTTATGTTTATTTATAATCTGGTAGAAACTGTTCACTAATTACCTTTATTAATAATATTTATTTTTCTTGAGTGTCTCGCATATATAAAATAAAATACAATCTCCTCATCCCCATACCACCCAAAATCTTCCTTTTCATCAGTTCTAGCATGTGCCCAGCTAACTATGTCTTCATAATTAACTGTCAATAGGTGCATGTTTGTAGGCCATCCACTGGGGCTTGGAAACACACCAGTGGCCACACTCTCAGAAAGGAATGAATCCCACTTTTCCAGTAGTAATCAACTAACAATAGTAATTTCTTAGGATGTAAAGTGCCTTTCCCCATCTTTACAGAATTCATCTTGTCTAGAAGAAGGTTGCATTTCACCGAGCTCTTTTCCTTCTCTGAATCTTACATTCTTCCTATGTCATCTTCCCTGATGTTCCTTGAGTCTTGCTTGTGCTGTGGAAGGGAAGAAGTTGATGTAGACATCTCCTTTAGAGCACAGCACATATTCTCTTGTCTTAAGCAATTTGATCAAATTCTGCCTCTCTGCATCGAATTCTGCCCATTGTGAAAGAATCTTTTCTGATGGAGGTTGAAGGTAACCCAAGTCTAGGCCATAACTATAAATGATAAGAACGCAATTGACCACTTAGCAGAGTTTAGGCGTGTCCTACCTAGGGCCTGTGACCTCCCTCAATCTTTTGATCTGGATTTCAACACCAAACATGATTTCCTAGTGCTAAAGGCCACAGTTCCAATAGGAAAGCATTAATTTATTCTATAATATATCTTGCCCATCCGGTATGTACTGTAGCATGCAGGGTCCAGTGTAGCATGTCTGTACTGCAAAAGAACATTGTAATCACTTGAAAGCCAGGCCAAGGGATGATATTTTGATATTAGTTTGAGATTGACTTCTCTTTTGTTGATGTCAAAGTGTGGAATATCTTGAGCAACAGGGCCTTATCATGTAGTTATGGTAAACAAGGGCAGTAGCAATAGCCTGTGCTGCATGGGAGATCTTTGTCATCTCCTTGACCAGTAATCCCTCTGGAGGTATCCTTTGCTTTGCACTTTGGTTTTCTTTTAAAAAAACATATCTTCTGTAATTGTAACTCTTTTTTAAAGTCTGTAACTCTTTTTTAAAGAAGTCTGTTGGTCACCATGTTTCAGGGAATTCCCATTGTCTGTGTTGGCAGGGACGCAAGAACCACAACAGCAGTCATAGACCCTCTTCTGTGACTGTATAGCAATCCTCACTTTTCTCCTTAAAATGGGGGCATATGGGATCTTTTCCAGTGTGCCACATAACTTCTTTTTTCATTACATTTATCTTTTTTGCATTGAGTATCAGAGGAAACCAATTTCAATGTAAAATTATCCCATGTAAATATTGAAAATTAAATTAATTACTTGATGAAAATGTAACAGTGCAGACTATTTGAAGATTAGCCTTAAATTCCCTACATGTTGAAAGTTATCCTTGAACTGTGATCCTCTTATTTTCATGCCCACAAAACAAGACTAGGAGTCCCACTAGGACTAGCTAGATTTATTACTGAGGATATCCATTTTTAGTGCATTCTTTAGTTAGCTTTCTCTATTAGGGAAAAAAATGGCTACAGTGCTTTCCTGATCATCTGAGGTTCACCCCAACTCCTGCTAACATCTCAACCTGAAGTATAATCTTATTTCTGTTAGTTTATAAATGAGGATCTTAAATATTAATTTTTAAGTAAGTACTTTTTTATTTTGTGCATTGCTATGTAGCTCAGGCTATGCCAGAACTCATAATCCTTCTGTTTTGGTTGTAATTTGCTCTGTGTTCTAATTTATTTATTTATTTTATTTAGCTTCATTTTTCAAAAGAAAGGTAGTTGTGGTCTCTAATAAAACATCCTGCAAAAAAAAGAGTTGTATCATATACAGGCAATTCATAAATTAACGTGAAGTCTCATCTTCATTATGAGGTGGGCAGGAAGAAAGGAAAGCAGTCTAAAATATTGATTATAAGCCCTCATGTGTGATTGTATTTCAAATCTTCCCTTTCTCTTTAAAACGTAAACATGTAAGACCTTGTTCTGTGTGCCACACACAACTGACTTACTATTACCCTAGCATTTTTATTGACAAACTATCAATGTGAAAGAGGTTTAGTTAAAATAATTCTTTATAAACATTGAAAATCCATTTTACCTGCAAACCAAAAAATTGTGAGTGTGAAATAAGATTGAGACATTTTATGTGATCTAGGGACCATATCTTTTCAATGAGTGCACAGAAAAGAAAATATTTTGGTGTTGAATTTATGATTAGTAGTTCTATATTCTGTATACTATGACCAATGGAACTATTAAAATCCTGACTTATTTCAGTGAGTGTTCAAAGTTAAACAGCTACCCATTATTGGTTTTGTTCTTCAGTGCCTTGAACACAAGGAAATACAATGCAAAGGATGGAGGATGTATGTTCTTATCTAAAACAAGACTAGAAAATACTAAATGTGATTGGTCCTTCCCCTGTATTTGTGAGAAGAGACTGGCTAAGTTTCCTGATTGACTTGCCAACAAGAGTTAAATGTAAGTTGTCATTTGGTCCTATTAACAGTGTCCTTTGTCTTACAGAAGCTTTGCAATTTTATGAGATACTATTTGTCACTTGTAGATCTTAGAGCACGAGCCATTGGATTTCTGTACAGGAAATTTCCCCTGTGCCAATGTGTTCAAGGTTCTTTCCCACTTTCTCTTCTATTAGATTCAGAATTCTGGTTTTATGTAGAAGTCCTTGATCTACTTGGGCATGAGCTTTATGTAAGGAAATAAGAATGGATCAATTAGTATTCTTTTACATGCTGACCACCAGTTGAACCACCATCATTTGTTGAAAATGTTATCTTTCTTTCACTGGATGATTTTTTATTCTTTGTCAAATATCAGGTGCCCATAGGTGTGTGGGTTCATTTCTGGGTCTTCAATTCTATTCCATTGATCAACTTGCCTGTCTCTGTACCAATATCAGGCAGTTTTTGTCACTATTGTTCTGTAGTACAGCTTGGGGTAAATAATGGTAATTCCCTAGAAGTTTTATTATTGTTGAGAATTGTTTTTGCTAATCTTGTTTTTTTGTTATTCCATGTGATATTGATAATTACTCTTTCTATCTCTGTTAAGAATTGAGTTGGGATTTTAATGGTGCTTACATTGAATCTGAAGATAGCTTTTGGAACACGGTCATTTTTACTATTTTTATTTTTACCCAAAGATTGAAAAAAGATTTTTACCAACCCTATATCTAATAGAGGACTAATATCCAAAGAAGTCAAGAAGTTAGACTCCAGAAAACCAAATAACCCTACTAAAACTGAAGTACAAAGATAAATACAGAAATCTCAACTGAGGAATATTGAATGATTAGGAAACACTTAAAAAAATGTTCAACATCCTTAGTCTTCAGGAAAATGTAAATCAAAACAACCCTGAGATTCCAACTCACACCAGACAGAATGACAAAGATCAAAAAGTCAGGTGACAGCAGATGCTGGCTAGAATGTGGAGAAAGAGGAACACTCCTCCATTTCTGGTGAGATTGCAAATTGTCCAACCACTCTGGAGATCAGTTTAGCAGTTCCTTAGAAAATTGGAAATAGTTCTTTTCTACCTGAGGATCCAGCTATATCACTTCTGGGCATACACCCAAAAGGTGCTTCAACATGTAATAAAGACACATGCTACACTATGTTCATAGCAGCCTTATTTATAATAGGCAGAATCTGGAAACAATCCAGATGTTCCTGAACAAAGGAGTGGATACAGAAATTGTAGTACATTTACACAATGGAGAACTAATTAGCTTTGAAAAACAATGACCTCATGAAATTTGCAGGCAAATGAATGAAACTAGAAAATATTATCCTGAGTAAGGCATCCAAGTCACAAAATAACAAACATAGTATGTACTCCCTGATAAGTGGATATTAGCCAAAAAAAACCCCTCAGATTACACACAATATAACTCCCAGACCATATGAAAGCCAAGAAGAAGAAAGGCTAAAGTGTGGATGCTTCATTCCTACTCAGAAGGGGGAAGAAAATAATCACAGGACATAGACAGAAGAAGGTATCTGGGAGTAAGAGAGGAGGAGGAAGGAAAGCAGGGCAGGATCAGATTGGGGAGGAGATGGGGAGAAGTACAAAGTGTTAGGAATTTGAACATAGATGTATAGAATGAGGAATAGGGAACTAGGGGTAGTCACTAGAATGTCCCAGGTGCCAGGGACCTAAGAGGTTCATTCCCAGGACCCAACAGGAATGACATTAGCTGAAATACCCAACAAAGAGAAGATAGATCCTGTAGAGACCATATTCAGTTGGTAGGCATGGCCCCCACTTGAAGGAAAATGCCATGTACCTATCTGAAAAATATTAATCTAGATTTGCTCCTGTCAAAAAGAAATGCAGGGACAAAGAGTGGCTCAGATACTGAAGGAAAGGGCATCCAGAGTTTGCCTCACTTACAGATCTATCCCATATGTGGACACCAAACCCAGACACTATAGCTGATACCAAGAAGCACTTGCCAGCCAGACCCACAAAGCTCCCAGGGACTAAACCACCAACCAAGAGTACACATGGAGGGACAAATGGCTCCAGCTGCATATATAGCAGAGGATTGCCTTATCTGGCATCAATGGGAGGGAAATCCCTTGGTCCTGTGGAGGCTCAATGACCCAGTGTAGGGGAATGCTAAGGTGCTGAGGTAGGAGTGGGTAGATAGGGGAGCACCCTCATAGTGGCAGGGGTAAAGAGAGGGAATAGAGGGTGTGGATGGGAAACTGTGAAGTGGGATAACATTTGACATATGAATAAATAAAATAACCAATAAAAAAAGAAAAAAGAATTAAAAAAACAAGAAATAATATTCGTGAAAAAAAGAGTTAAAGGTAAAAATGAAATGTACTGATGCTCATTTGTTTCCTGTAGTAATTTGTGACTGCTTACAAACAAGTGTTTTGTTCACAGGACTTAGTCCACTGTTCAAACAAAGAGAAGAGCTGAAAGAGGTTGGAAATGCTCCCTAGAATCTGATGTAACAGAGCAGAGGCTTCTTCCTTCCTGGTTGAGACAGGACACGTCTCCTCTGGTGCTTGGTCACACTTTGTCCCAAAGCCTCCAGGACATGGCTTTTTCAGCTTTGTTAAAACTCTTATAGAACTAAATAAAGAATCACAATAAACAGCCTGACTATTTCATTATGATTAGAATAAATCCTCTTAATTGAAAGTACAATTAAAATTAGAATGTACTTGTAGGTTTTGATTTCTCATTTGTTAGTTGAGTAGGTTTGGCTTGTTTGCTTTTTGTTTAATGTAGAAGTTTTTCTTGTTTTTACAAATATTTCTTTTGGTCATAAAATATAATTTCAAGTTTTGTGAACAGTTGCAAGCATAGTTCAAGGTACTACTGATTATCTTTTATCCAAGGCATCAGTTGTCTTATGCACCTGTTTCAATCCATCTATAATGAGTTGAGGCCTTATAGAAATGGTGGTAATAACTGATGTTGGAGATATCTATTGGTTTTCACTTGTGACCTTGGCAATTAGGAGGCTAAGCCATGATTGCTAAAAAATGAATACAGTGAGAACCGATGTCATAGAACCAAACAAACCAAACAAAATCAAGACATACATATTCCTCAACATTTTCCAGGGACAACATTTTATATTTACAACCATACCCAAATTATCAAACTCAGGACAGAGTATTGATATAGTAACTTATTCTAATCTAGGATCCATGTACCTATCCACTAACTGGATAATGCTACTCTAGGTACTTCCTCCATGCTCAGGTTCTCATGTGTTCAGTTATGGTGTGATTTTAGTGTCCTTTTGTCCTGAATGGTTTTTTTTTTTATGCTTTTTGATCATTTGTTTTTGGTATGTTTGCTGGTCAATTGTTTTTCATGGTGGTTTTGTTTGTTTGGTTTTTGTTTGTTCTGAGACAGCATTTCTCTGTATAGCCCTAGCTGTCCTGGTACTCTCTGTAGAACACGCTGACCTGGAAGAGATTCATTTGACTCTGCCTCCTTGGTACTAAGATTAAAGTCATGCTTATGGTTTTGGATTTTTACCTTAGTAGCTTGTAAATAAACTTCTGGTGTGAGCCTGTATATAAAATATACACCTACTTCATGTCATGAGAAATATGAGCACGCACACACACACACACAGAGTGCTTAACACTTGCAATATAGACAAGGCTGCCTGCAAACTCGTAGAGATTTGCCTTTGCCTCCCAAGTGCTGAGATTAAAAACATGTGGAACCATACCCAGCTGTGAAACACAGGTTTAATAAATAAGTACACTTCTCATCCTCCATCAAATCCAAACAGAGCATTTTTAGGCTTTCTCAAAGTCCTTTCTTGTACTGGCTGTGTTCTCTTACAATGTAAATTAATTCTATTTTCATAACAGCTTTGTATCTCCCTTCTTTTTGCTCAGCATTTTTAAAATTAGTATATAACTTCTTTCTTATACTAATATTTCACTAATTCTTTGATAATTTCATACCATGTATTTCAATCATATTCATTTCCTATCATTTAAATATGCTCACTTCACTCCTAACTCCTTACCCACTCAACTCTCACTTTGCTCTTTTCTTTTCTTAAGATTCATCAAGTCTAGTCCTGTTGTCCAGCTACTTTTAGGTATGGGGCATGTCCTGGAGTTCGTTCATTGAAAACATTGATACGATTTACAAACCTTTGGCCAAATTAACCAAGAAAACTGACAAGATCCAAGTTAATAAAATCAGAGATGAAAAGAGAGAGATTACAACAGGCACTGAGAAAACTCAGGGAATCATAAATATATATGGTACAAAACTTTATTTCACTCAGGTGACCACAGGTTGCCCCTAAGCTGGGAGCACAGAGGGAGAATCACTTCCAAGTGCTCTGTTGAAGCAAGAGAATATTTAGAATTGAATATCCTCTAATGGGATTTTCCTGTAATGAGTATGAAATGACTTTTACTACTACTTATCAGAAGTTTCTATTTGAAGTTTTATTTTGTCAGATTAGTTCTTCAGAAAGGTATTAGTTAGAAGTTTTTTGACAGCTACAGCTGTTTGTTTCTTAGTTCAGTTTGCTTGGAATATCTTTCCCATCTTTTCCTCCTAAGTTCTTTATGGATTACTTTTCTAATGTTTGTTAAAGTTCAGTGAATAGAAGCAAGTGTTTATTTTAAGCTTATGATGTCAGAGGGTTCCAGTCCATGATAGAAGAATAAATGAGAGCTCAATCTTAAATCACACACAGGAAGCAGAGCAAGCTAACTGCAAATGTAGTGAAGACTTTTCAAACTTCAAAGCCTGTCTTTCTTGACATGCTTCCTCCAGCAAGATCACAACTCCTAATCTTCCTTAAATAGCCACCAACTGAGGACCAAGAAGTATTCAAATGACTGAAACTTCTGGTGTACATTTGAATTAAACCACCACTGTAGTATCCTTAGTGTAAAGCTGTAGTTTTGGAATCATATGAAATTTCCTGGGGGCTTATTAAAGAAAATCAGAGAAGGGAGATACATTCCATCTGACTATAACAGAAAACAGAAACAAACAAACAAAAAATCAAAACAAAACCAGTGAAAGCTTAGGTTTAAAATTGAGGTCAAGAGATATGCATAAATAAGAAATATTGTTCATAGTGTAGTTCCAATTATCACCCCAGTCTTTGCTTCATTCTCTTCTGCAAGATAATCTTACAATGTTTTAGAACTTATTTCAAATGCCACAACAACCAAATAGAAAGGTATAAGTATCTCACACCAGAATATCTTCACACCTACAGGATGGATATATAGCATTCTCCAAACCACTTTATTGGAACTGAATAAGAGGAATTATACATACTAAGAAGAAGAAAGGGAGAAGATATAAATCTACCCTTCCTTCTTTTAGAAATTATATTGTTTTGTTGAGTGTTTTGTTCTAGTTGCTTTTCCTTCAAGCTTAAGAATTATAGTGTCAAGTAAAAGTTTTTCTTCTGCATTAAAACAGCATCTTCTGTAGGGAGTCTCTTGAAAACCCAGGAAGTTAATAAAACTCACAAGTCTCAAAAAGTTCATAAAATTCATAAGATGCCCAAGGACCCTCTGCAAATTTATATAAACAGTAATTATTGCAAGGAAAGGTCACTCTCCTACCAACTGAGCTGCATGTAAGTTATGTATTGAGCTCCATTAGACTTCAAGAATCCATCATCAATGCTAGGATGAGATTTCTGGTTATTCAGCTATCTTTGAGATATCTTCCATATTATAAGTAACACCCTAGTGAGATTCCTGTAAGTTACTCCAATAAGCTCATTGGAATACTTTTTTTTTTTTTAATCGATAAGCATTGCTCTATCTGGAGTGAAGAGAAGTTTGTTCATGTGTCCCAAAGAAAAGTCAAACAACATATGATAACCTTGGTAATGATTAGTTTTCTACTGAAATTATATAGATAAACTATTCTGTTTTTTTAAATATTTAAATTTTTACTTTGGGAACAAAGGCATTCATGGAAATCAACTTACTCCTCAGTTTGTGGCAGTGCTCTTGACTTCAGTTTTCATTTCTAATTATCTACAGGATAATGTCCATTTGTTTTTGCATAGTTATTTAATTATTACTATTTGCAAAACATTCTACTTGGTACCAAAGTCATACTGGAAAGTAAACCATAACTCTTTCCTTAGAGGCTTAAAATTCAAGGAATAAACATGTCTGGAAATGGTAAGCCTGGCAACTGGAACAGCTCTTGCCTGGAATTCTTGAAAAGCAAAACAAAATCCCAAATAATTATACTGCAAGGTGAATATATAAGTACTTGGTTCATGATTACAGTGCCTAGAGAACTGAAAAGGAGGGAATTAACTCTACTGAGAATTAGGACATTGCCAGGGAAGATTCTTTAAGAAACCCATTTGATTGAGATTAAAGAAACAATGTACATCTGGTCATATGAACGAAACAGAATGGAATTTTACTAAGATTTATTATCACACAAAGGCACAGCTTACATGACTTACTGGAAGGAGGACTTGGGCATTGCTGGAGGAGCTGAGGATAGGAAGATCCAGCAGTGTTTTGATGTAATGGGAAGTTAGTGACTTAGATAATAGCTGTATCACTGAATTCTGTGGAAAGATAAAAAGAAAGACAAATAAACAACAGTTACAACCCTAAGGAGTCTACATAGTTCAAACTATGTTTTGAATTTCTTGATTCAGGTCCCAGACACTCAGCATTAGTTTATTACCACATGAAACTATCACACCCCAATGAATCTCATATTGACACACCTAAGATAAGACTTTTCTAACTCTGTATTTTTCTCATGCAATTACTTTGTTTTTCTTTCTTTAAATTGATACTTGCTACCAGAAACAAAATAAAGTAGAGGAATATTATTGAAATATGACAATATAACTTTTCTCTTTCTCTCTGTGTGTGTGGGGGGGGGTTTCCAGTAAGTCCTCAAAAATACCATGGTAATTAGTTGAGTCTCACATAACCATTAGCCTAAGGTGGTAACAATTATTAGTCACAACAATACAAAGGACTCTTTTTTTCCCATTTCTACCTCTTACTGCTCTAGCTGCCTGGATGCTCTCATAGGCATTGATGCTACCTCTCCAATGTGCACATATTCTATACAAATGCATGATACATGTTTACTTAGAAACTTTTTCCCTTGCTTTGTCTTTTTCTTGTTTGTTTGGTTTGGTTTGAGGGATTTTTTTTTTTTTTTTGAGACAGGATTTTGCTATATAGCCCAGGCTGGCCTCAAACTCTTGATCATCTGTCAGTCTTTCCTGAGTGCAGAAATTTGGTCATGGGCCACCACAGACAGCATGAAAACTGACCTTTCCTGTGACAGCTTTCCTTGTCACTCAACCACCAATGCCATGTTCTGTCTCCATAAATCTGTTTTGACCTACATAATAGTTGTTGTTAAGAAATACCATTATTTTTATTATCTTTTCTCAATCCAGACTATTATCCAATATATACTGACTTTAATGTGTCAAAAATCTTGACCCATAATAGGTTAC